CTTAAATGTCAGACATCTTTCTTCCCTGAAAGCCCAGAGGCAGACTGGAGGCATGCTGCCCACTGCACCCATAGTCCTGGTTAAAAGCAGTGGCTCGTCCTTAACAGCACTGTGGCAAAAAGCAGCTACTACCATCTAGTCATTCCCCCATCAAAGAAAGTGTCCCTTAGTCTTGAAAAGTCCAGCTCTTTGAAATGAAAATAAATGCCAAAGTAAATGAGGCCTGACAGCATTTGTCACGAGCCCCCTCCTAGCTTATTAAAATGTATTAGCTGATGTGAAAAAGACACCCACGCTTGTCAGCCAAAGAAACAAAAAAGCCCATCTTCAAAAGCTTATTTCTTTTACTTTCCCCAATGCTTAATCTAATCCACTGGCTGTCTGCATCCTTATTGCCATCCTCCTTTGCTTGGGGTTTACAATGTGGAGTGGAAATTGGTTGAGATCTGCACCCCATCTTTTTTTTTTCCTAATTGTCATGATTAGCTGATTCACCTGCAGAGCCAGTGATGCCTTCAGAGGGCGGCGGCAGGCCTCTATCCACACCTCCTCTGGCTTGGCAGTGTTTATGAAGACTCAGCTGCCTATAAAATAATAATTCAGCAGCAGGCAATCCTATCTGTAGGGGCTGTGGAGAGGCAAGTGGAGCAGAATTAGGCCTTTGAGGGAGTGGATATTTACTTTGCAGATGTGTTGTTCCTACGTTGCTTGTTTGGGGTTGCCCTTAGTGGGAGAGCCTCAAATGGGCTTTTGAGAGTCTTAGAGGAAAGCAAATTTGTCCTTTGTCACTTGCCCTGTCTCTTACCCCATTTGCAAACCAGCCCTCCCTTCCCCTCGGCTGTGCCCGGGACAGCCGGCACCCCTGTGGGTGCATCGGTGTGCTGCAGTACACGTAGCTCAGGAGCTGTGCCCAGCCTGTGCTGTGCTTAGAGATGCAAAGTGGCTCTCAAAGCAGGTAAGTTAATTTTGTTAATGCTGGAGAGGGTGTACAGGGTATTACTGCAGAAAATGTGTTTTTGGGAGGAGGAGGGCAGAACCCATTGGCCAAGCCTTAAAGTGCTCCAGGTGCTTAGCACCACAAACAGCCTCTGGCACTGCTTGTGGTGAAAGCAAGGTATGTGTGCGCAGGAGGTGAAGCTTTTGGGTTAGCAACAGCCATGCCCATACTCAACCTGTCTCCTATCCTCCACCTTCCTGAGACTGCTAATAGGTGTCCTTTTTCTCGCTGAAGTTGATAAAGCCACATTTACCTCAATATTGCAGATCTGCTCTATCCAGCAAAGTGTCTGTAAATGTAACTAGTGGAAACTAATGAACAGAAGTTCATGGCTGCCCTACAGGGTTCACTGCCAGCGTGCAAAGTTTCTCCAACCGCAGGGGTGTGTGAAGTCCAAACTGGGAGACCTAAACCAGTTCAGGTTTTTTAGGTGTGCCTTTAAATCATGAGAAATCATGAGAAATCATGGGTATCAAATGCTACCAGCAGGCTCTGCAATAACCCCTTGATAAAACAGACGGTTGTGTCAAAATGCTGGCTGAGATGCGGCTTCTGTAGCATCAAAGCAGACTTGCATCTCACAGCCTTTAGTGAAGGGCATAGCCACCTGTGGAAGCAGGACTAATGTGGTCCTGCCATTAATGCTGGAATCTTCTTTTGCTTCAGACACAGTAATAGATACCAAAAACTGCAGCTCTGTTAGCAAGCCGCCCATAAGAAACATACTGTTAAAGTTTTGGATGGGGGAGGTCAATTATTTAGGTCACTGGACAGCAGGGGACTCTGTTATGTGGGAAAACTATCCATCGGCCTTTCAGGGATTCAGCATGCAGCTGGATACAAGTTTATCTCGTGACCTTGAAGGGAAGCAAGTAAATAGGATGGTTAAATGAACCATAACAGATCAGCTTGCATATCTGAAGGACAATCAATAGAGTGTAACAACAGGCATAGATAGCTCTAAGGGTTGAAGGTCACACAGCAAAGGGAAAAAAACCTGTTTCTATCTTGCTTTGTATCAAAATTGCTTGTTCAGAGACATTTCTTTCTGTGCTATTTACTATCACTCAGTGATGAGCTGTGGCGTTGGGGTCCTGGTCTGAGAAACAGTGTCTGGGAAACTGGACAAGCAAATGAATTAGTAAAGTCATCAACTGAAAGTCTGGGCGAATAAACATTCCCCCCCACCCTGAGACATAGATTTTGTGGGTACAGGGAGATCAAAGGCTAGGGGGAGATAGCTTTTGTACATGTTTATGTTGCTGCACGCTCTGGGATTAACAATGTGGGTGTGAAGGTACATCCATGTCGCCCTTCTGATGGATCAAGTGACAGGAATGAAGCCTGAGTTCATGGCTTTTCTTTTCCAGACCAAAACACCACCACTCATTGAAAGAGGTGGGGAGAAAACGTGTGGTTTTTGTCTGTGGAAAGCCTTGACTCAGTAAAGAAATTCTGCCAAGACAAAAAAAAAATCTCCCTGTTGGGTGCCAGCTTGCAGGAGAGGCAGGAAAAGCAGCACGTGATGAAAGCCTGGCATGCAGCATTGCAGCCACAGCAGACGTGGAGCAGCACAGTGAGCTGAGGCAGACTGGAATGGAAGGTCTCAGCTGAAAATAGAGATTTGTTATGATGGGCCCCAAACAGCAAAAGGCTGAGACCAAAATAAAAATCCCCACGTATCAGACCTTACATGGAGTTTGAGGCCTAAATGAAAATCATCTTTGTGGGCTATTAGGAGAGGTTATTAAGAGAACTTTCAACAAATTAAGCAAAGATCAAACCCTCTTAATTTTGGAAATGACTTGCAAGAAAATGATCTCTTAAGACAGGGAAGTTTTACGTGGCCTTAAATTAGGCTTGTGTAAGTAGTCCTCCAAAGAGATAGATGTTCAGTATGAATTACAGTGGTCAAGAAGCACTGAGGGCAGGACACATGACTGGTAATATGCTTTGGAAGACCCCAGCCATAAATTTGTTTGAAAATAATGCTCTCCGTCCCCCAGAAAAAAAACCCATAAAAAAGCACTGATGATTTAGTCAGAAGCAGCTGGAGTGGTCTGCCATGCTTTCTGTGTGAATAACTAGATGAATATGTTAGTTTGTGCTTATACTCTTGTGAGTTGCGTCCTGTCTAATCCTGGAGAAAATTGTTCATGAGCTGGGTGTCCTTGCCCTATTACAAATAACAGTATCTTGCAAGTGAACCCTAGGAGCTTGCTACACCAATGTGTAGGCCAGTAAGCCTTCTTGCTGAAAAGACCTCATTACTCTGACTTTGTTATCATTCATTGACTTTCAGGAGTTTGATTTAATTTTGCGATAGGAATCCTAGACCAAAATGGATGTAAAGGGAGTACCCTGACAAAAGCTTTTTATTGAAGAAGGGACTGAGCGAGAGGGTGAGGTCTGGCACCCCGTACACGTGGGTATCTCTTCATTCTTCCATTCCTTGTGGTGGCCTCTTCAAAGGGCATCATCCCCACTTTGTGTGGTCTGGTGGTGCCCTATTCAGCTATATTTTCAAGGAGCAATAAGCCTTGTTCAGTGATTATGATTAAATTAATGGAGAGAGTTTAGGTGCAGGACCTTTAAATGCATTTTGATGCTCACCAGCGGTCCAGCTTTGTTACTGCAACAATGTACGTTACTGCAGCTGTTAGAAATGAATCAAAAGGGCTTACCCTTGCTTTTGCCCTTTCTGATTTTGATAAGGACATGTGAAGGTGTTGGACGCACAGTTCTGGCTCAAAAACCCAGTCAGTTGGACTGGACTGAGACTATTAGAGTTTATGATTTTTATTATTTTTTATCTTAATATATATTTATATATTTTATCTATTTATATATGACCTGTTTATATTATACATTATATCTGCATATACTTAATACACTATATCAATGTTACTATATTACATTACATTTAATAATTTTAAATATTTATTTAATTTTTATCTATTTGTATTACATGCTTTTATTTTTTTGTATTGAGCTTATTATCTTTATTATTACTTTATTATCTTTATCTGAGACTATTACAGCTGGACTGAGAATATATGAGAGTTAGAAATAAGCAGAGGTTAAAATATGGCTCCCCCGCATTCACACACTGGCTTCCATTGCTGTCTGAAAGCAGTGTGCAAGGAACCAAGGAATCCGCCATGGGTATTTTGTATTGAGCTTATTATCTTTATTATTACTTTATTATCTTTATCTGAGACTATTACAGCTGGACTGAGAATATATGAGAGTTAGAAATAAGCAGAGGTTAAAATATGGCTCCTCTGCATTCACACACTGGCTTCCATTGCTGTCTGAAAGCAGTGTGCAAGGAACCAAGGAATCCGCCATGGGTATTCATCTCTGTCCTGTTGTTTAATTGTTTGGTCACAGCGTTCGGTGGTCTGACCTTCCCTTGCCCAGCAGCACTGACTTACCTTTCAAGATCATTGTGTTTTCTACCCTTATAAAGTTTAAACCCCTTCCATTTCCAGGGGATCCAAAGCCACACTCTATACCTACTTTTTTTTTTTTTAAAGTCCAGGTGCCATAGCTGAAGCAAAACCAAAAAAAGCAGATCACTGAGTTGAATTTTAAATATTGATTCACTTTCTGAATTTTAACTAGAAGGATGAGAACAGGCACATGCCTATATAAAGGACTCTGGCATGAAGAAAGCCAAGTGTTAGCCCAAGGAGCTGTTTCTAGGAGGTGAATCACACTGGAGGCACTTGCTTAGGTAAGTCTAAACTACACACTGTGCGAAGTTTATCACACCTGGGTGTGATACTGAAACTAGGAAAACTTGTATGTGTCACATTTCCTTGGCAGTACCTTGGTTCCTTAACACCCTGTTAGCAAAGTCCAAGTTCATACCTGGCTGAAACTGGCACTTTATTAGCAACAGAAGCAAAGTTAAATCTTGGAGAGAAACAAGTCCATGCATGCATGAATGAATACCAAAATGGAAATAAAAATGCTAAGCTCAAGCATACTCTTGTAGGACTTGACAAGCCAAACTCATGGACTTCACATGACACCTTTGCCTGACACCCTGCTGCTGTGTGAGCAGTCAGTGAGAGGAGTATCTGCTGCTGAAGACAGAAGGGAAAACCAACAGATAACCAACACTGGTCTGTAGCAGAGGAGTCAGGACTCTGCAGAAAACAATCATCTTCTCTGCAGATCAGGTGAGATAAGGTAAGGTTTGTCTTGTTGCCCCCCCCCCCCCCCCCCCCCCCCCCCCCCCCCCCCCCCCCCCCCCCACCCCC